GAGATTACAATAATGAGATCATTTCGTCTTTAAATATAAATCCTAAATAATCTCGATCATAGGTTACTCAAGAGGGATATCAAGATAACGAGATAGGCTAGTTGTTAGGATCAGAGCAGCACTAAGAGGGGGGGGTGAATTAGTGCAGTGGATTAAAACTTCGGTTTTGATAAATCTTTCGTACGATGAAACGCAATATCAATGGAAACCGATTTTAGAAGCTTGATAACTTAGAAACGTATGGAAGCGTAGTAACTAAGTAGAGAAGTTTGCAGTATGTAAATGGCAAGAGAAGGATGCAAACCAGATAACGCAGATTTTACAATGGTTCGGTCAAATGACCTACATCCACTTGCGAGGCCCCTCTTTGATGAGGCTCCCACCTTCCACTAGCAAATCTCTTGAAATGGAAGGGCAAATACCCCTCTTACAACCTTTTACAAGCAGTTCAACCTCTTACAAATTTTCAGTAAGAAAGAAGGAGAACTCTCTAGCAAATTGAAAACAAGAAAGGCAAAGACTCTTCTAAGACTTTTCTCTCAATCACTTACTGCTCAAAAAGTTGTCTTCTCAGCTGAGACTTGAGGGGTATTTATAGGCCTCAAGAGGATTCAAATTTGGGCTCCAAAAATTTGAATTCTCTTATGTTCCCGATGCTGGCGGTGCCACCGCCCAGCCCAGGAGGTGTCACCGCCCAGCTCTCGGGTGCTGGGCGGTGCCACCGCCCAATTCTGCTCACTGGTTGGGCTCCAAACTTGGCCCAAACCAGTCCGAACTCGGGCCCAATTGGCCCCTACTTGGGTTATAAGATTAACACCTAATCCTAACCCTAATTAACATGCTAACTACGAATTTAAAGATATTTTCTAAGCTATTACAAAGTCCGTAAGTCAAGACTTCTTCCGGTGAGCTTTCGGCGAACTTCCGACGGTCTTCCGATAAACTCTCGAAAACCATTCTGCGGACTCCCGGCAAGCTCCTAGACTTCACGATTTGATCTTGGCGAGTTCCAACGAGCTTCTTTGGTAAGCTCCGATCTTTCTCGGTGAGCTCCGCGAACTTCCAACGAACCTTCCGGCGAGCTTCCGAAAAACCCTTCGGCAAGCTCCCTACTCATTCTCGGCTAGTCCCGGCAGCATTCCCGACGAACCTTC